CGTAATGTCTGAAGGTAGACATATTGAACATTTACTATGATTTCTACATGTTGTGTGTTTTGTTATTAATAAATTAGTTTTGTTTATTACCCTTTAATCGTTTAATGCAGGTACTAACTACAAAATAACAATAATTCCAGTTCGCATTTATGACGATGTATCTTTGTAGTTGTTCGTAAAATATTTTTTTTCTGCGAACTGGTTTATTTTGGGCAAAAAATCCACTAACATTTTTTGTTTAGAATGAAACAGGCTCTCAGAAATAAATTTTTAAATGGTAAACAAATAATAACACAAAAAGTTACATTGGAAATAAGTTTTAGGGGTTGCGTTTTCCATCCCTTACAACCATGGGGTGAACCAAATAAATTACTGACTAAGTGTCTTTTTGGTAGTACAAAACGTCAGGTTAATTTCAATATTGTAACTTTTTCAGTGCTTGTGAAAAAAATTGTTATACAAATTTTATGTGCCCCCTTTAAGGGGCTGTATCTTAACTCCAATGGAGTTTCTTTATATGAAAAATCCTATCTTTTTTTTTTCGATGAGGAATCACCTCCTTAAATGTTTTACACTTATTCAGTTACACCCTGTATAATCTTATGTTGGCAACACTTTTTTACCCGGCGGCCATTTTGTCAGCTGTCAAATTATTCATGTTCCACCAAGAAATACTGACAATAGAGCAACGTTACCAAGTCAGATGGGATGCAGCAATGATGGGGGATCATTGTTGGTTCCTTATGAGGGAAAACAATGAAACATATAAACGAAAGTCGCAAAACGGTTATTCACAAAAGACATTCGAATGTTTTTTCATGTGTATTGTGAATAAAGTTTGTTATCCTCGAAATATATTGTTTTTTTCTTGTTTTGATCTTATATTTCCCTGAAATATGTGAAAATTACTCAAAAATTTTCATGTTGAAGGCGCAGCCAGGATGCTTTAAACTCTCATGTACAGCCATTATAATATTAGTCGCAATTTTTTTTCTTATTCATTGGCTAGTGTAATCAAAGATTGAAGAAAACAAAAGGGGATCAAGTGATCACGAAAATTGATTGGAAACTCTTTCCACGCCAGAACGAAACGCTGTTTCCCGGCGCTATAGTTTTCCGCGACTGAGAACCCCTCCTTTTTCCTATTGTATCTCGTATATCATTTGAACTGCAGGGCATTAAAAACCGATTTCGTTTCCAGGTGAAACCGTCAGCGGCATATGTCCATTTGGCTCGTTCCGATGCTCCGAAGGCAAATGTATTCCGGCCCTTTGGGTGTGCAACTATCAGGCAGACTGCGAGAAAGCGGAGGATGAGTTCCAAACGTGCCGTGAGTATAACAATTCAGGATACATTCAGTTCCGAGAGGAGGTTTTTTATTTGTGTGTCGATAAATCAGAAGCTCCCAGTTTCATATACAACGCATCAAATGCAAATATTAGTTTCACAAGACTACCCCTTTCATCAAAATCATGGTTTTTCCACTACCCACTAGAAGGAAAGGGTAGCTTATAATATCCTCCAAAGCACGATGGACGTTGTTCACAGTTGGTGCCTGAGGGAGCGGATGTCTGTCAACCCCAGCAAAACTGTGATAATCCCCTTCACCAAGAGGAGAAAATTGGACGATCTAACGCCACTTTTCCTCAATGGTGAGGTCATTCCATTCAGACGGAGGTGAAATATCTTGGCATAGTCTTTGATGAAAAACTCACTTGGAACGCTCACTTGGAAAAAGTTTTGCACAAAGCCAGACTGTCCCTATGGACATGTGGAAGGATTTGTAGTAAAACTAAATCCATTGGATTTATCTGATTATTGTCAGACCAATGATCACTTAAGGAGCAATTGCCTGGTGGCCGAAGGCTTCACAGAAAACGTCTCAGACCAATTTTTCTGGCTTCCAGAGACAGACTTGTCTGGCCATCAGTGGTGCCATCCGTACCATACCGTCAGCGGTCATGGAGATTCATCTAGATCTACCTCCTCTTCACATTTTTCTGGAGAGAGAGGCTAGATGGATTGTGCACATTGTCAATTGCACAAATACATTTACTGCACAGTACAACAAACTGCTGGTTGATACTGGAAGTCACAGCATTTCGGAAATGACCTCTGACTTCATGCCTCCAACTGTCAACTACGAACTGCCTTATAAAGTACTGTTCCCGAGTAGAGAGGACTAGCTCCTCCGGCAGAAGAAGTATTAAGAGCAGATAGCTGTTGGTCCACAGATGGATTAAGAACACCTTCAGGTTCTGTTGCAGGTGTTTTCAGTCGCAGACCCAGGACAGAGATATCAACCTGCCTAGCAACCTATGCGACTGCATTTCAAGCGAAAATGTATGCTATTGAATTGTTTGCGGAGAGATTGGAAGAATCCAACCTCATGCAACGTCTAAATTTGTAGCAAATCGCCAAAAACGACTCTCCTAGATAGGAAGACTCAACAGATTGTCTCTGGTCTGGATTCCTGGCTATACTGGCCTGGAAGGCAATGCGACTGCTGACTCCCTTACAAAAGAGGGTGTTGCAAGCAGATTTATCAGACCAGAACCTGTCATTGGCATCGCTTTAGCATTTGCCAAACAAACATTGAACACCTGGATGGCAGGAAGATTCATGGACTTCTGGCAGAATCTTCCAGGATTGGCTCACTCCAAGGCTTATTCGCCCTTCGAAGCTTGATACCAAACAGTTGTAGGACTACAGTAGGGATAAACTACGATGCCTTCTCACAGGTTACTGTCATTTGAATCATCATTTGCAGAGACTCGGACTGTTGTGTTACCTGTTTGGATATACTTTGTGCCTGTCCCGCTGGGGACCGAATCATCACTCACCATACAAACTAATCGGTTTCGTTAAGAAGCTGGGTTTATTTGGTCGAGTGTGAATAGGTCTGAGTCACAATAAACCCTTGCGGGTTGCGGTGGAGGGTCGAATAGACCCATTTACTTTTGACCTAACCTAACCCACTAAAATAGACTATATTTCACGAATTAAAAACATTGTCATCAATGAAATATGAGTAATGCAGTACAATACAAATTAGAACGGTATCAACTGGAAGTGGACTATTTTCACAGAATAAGAATTTTGTGTCAATCTATTAGTTTCCTTCTGAATTGGGAGAAGGAATAAGAATTACTGTTACAACTAGCTGAATGGATTTACACACCTTGATATTATGAACAGGTATCACCAAGTGATACCTGTTTTCTAACACTGTTCAGTTCTCGTGGATGTTAAAATTAATTTTATGCCTAATCTATCGCGAGTATACAATTTAAAAAAGAAGAGGATAGCCGTATGTGGAAAAAAGCACTATGACAGAGACATACATATGTATGTATATATACATATACAGTCCACTTCTCATTATTTCTTACTCAAACAAGGCGACAAAGATCTGCTATTTAAACATCATGAAAAAATAAAGAAATGTTCCGTCTTTGTTTGATTTTTGGCAAATGTGGTATAATTCATAATTGTCAGTTTGATTTTCTCAAAAATTGCTTCTCCTCAATTGCAAAGTACTTCGAGTCAGGCATATTAATAGGTAAACCTCTGCGACCTATTCAAGGCCTTTAACTGCCAAGATCTTTGACTACACTTCGGTGTTATAGGAATTATTTTGAATTGTATTAAATCTTATCTAACCAATCGACAAAAGGGATCAGTCAGTAAGGACATATTGAATTGGGCTACCATTCGACATGGTGAGCAAAGTTCTGTTTTGTTGATGATTTATCTCTGGTGAATGAAAATATTAGTCAAAATAGTCCTGTGTTGCTTACCTCATGTCTCCATTCAAGCATTAGTTGTGGTAATTTGAGTTAATTTGTGGTGTTTGAGTTTCACGAATTCAAAAGAATGATTGAGGAGTACTCTTGGATAAACCCTGCAAGCCAGTAGTTTTTGACCTTTACAGGTGTCCACACCAGTCTCTTATTGAAAACAATATAAATAGAGACAACTTCAAGTCGAATTCTAAATTCAATGATGCTAAATCCGTTAGCGAAACTTGCGTCGAGATATAATTTATGGAAATACTTAGCCACACAAGATGTAATTGAGTAAAAAATTATTGAAACAATCTGGGTCAATGCAGATCTCAAAAAGGGAATAATAAGAAAGAAGGGCCACCTGTATAGAATAATTTCAATTCGGACACTATCCTGAGAAAGATATTAGCCCCAAGGCAGAACCCTGTGGAGTACTAAAGGTCTGTTGTATTGATAAACGATTTATAAATTAATTATTCAAATTCAAACGGCCCCTGAGGGTATAAGTAACCTTTCACTCCGTATGCTGATTCAGCTTAAAAAACAATTGGTCAATATTTGGTCATGAATTACACTTGATTGTGAGACTAGACAGTGTTTTGCTGTACAGTTGCTTTTTCAAACGTTTTCAGTTTGAATAATTTATGGATTTTTATCTAACTCCATCACATATCATAAATTACTTTGAATAACCGAAAATGCCAGCTAATCAATCTTCTTATGCCCCTTTCAGTATATTAGGGGAGTATGTCTGTTATAGTCATTTAATAATGATACCCGAGTTTGTAAATTGGTCTCGTAAGCAGAATCGGCCGATGACAAAGAGAGAGAGAGAGCAAACGATTTTCCAAGGGACGACGAACAATGCGGTTCCTGACGATTGATGTATTGAATCCATAATCGATAATAACTAAATGGAATATGCTTATACAGCACGTGTGGAAAGTGTTTGTTTTTTCGCCTATATCGTGAATTCTCGTCTTTGGCTTACAATCCCAAGTGGATTGATTGCAGAGCAAACAGTATCGATCAACAGGAAACTAGTTCGCGATATCGCCGTAGATTCAGGTCAGTCGATACGTGGTCGACATAAACGGCAATATGAAGAGTGTTTCTTTACAAGCGTGATCATATTTATCGTTCACAAACATCATTGTTGTAATTCTCTTCTGGATAACAATATATTCCAAAAGACTATATACAAAGCTTTCTGAAATGCTGAAATAGTTGCATGTCATTGATATTGTTACGAACTTGCGATGATACTAATACGTAGAGTATTCAAAAATGAGGTGAACGGGAACAGTATGTTGAGATTGATACCGCCATCAGTGAATAAGGAGTTGTAGAGTGTGGAATTCCACAAGGAACTGTTTTAGGGCCCATTCTTTTTACGATCTACATGAATAGAATACTAACATTCCATACCTCTGGGACACTATGCTTCGCTGATGATACAGCCGTTTTGTATGATGTCGATACCTGGGATGAACTGAAAATGAAATCACAACATTACATGAGTAAACTCAAGAGATTTTATCAATGAATCATGAAAAAACTTGTTACTCACCGTTTTCTTGTTATACCAATACCTTGCCTCAGTATGACTCGTTAAAAATTGACAACCATGGCAACGATATCAACGATATCAGAGAAAGTCAAATACTTGGGAGTGATTATTGATAGACATATGAGGTGGAATTATCATGTTGACCAAGTTACAAAAACATTGCGCAGTACTTTATACGAATTGAAATATCTAATAAATATTCTAGACATAACCCAGATGAGAATTATTTATCACGCACTTATTGAATCGCGACTAATATATGGAATTCTCAAATGGTGTGGGAAAACTAGATGTATTGCAAAAAAAATACCTGAAAATTCTTTACCGCAAACCAGTTAAATACGCATCAAAATTACTATTCGAAAGGGCTAAAATGTTTGATATGAGGCAACTATATTTTGTCAAAGTTGTCAATGAACAGTATAAAAATCGAATGGTTCTTATTTATATAGATCACACCCATAATACAAGGCATAAAGCTAAATAACCCCTCACCACAATATATTCCTCAAAAACAATCACCCAACGTACCTAGCGAATAGGCTTTATAATTTTTTACCCCTGGAAACAGGAGAAGCGCCAACTATATATACATTTGAGAAAAAAACTAGATGATATCTCTTTAGCCTGGATATATCTGCTATTCACAGATTAATTGATCCTTTATTAAGATAATTCCTGTATCCAATTTTTTTTCACTTGATTGATTCATCACAAATATTTCCCATCTGTGTTACAAGAACAAAACTATGTTCACTAGATTCAGCCACCGTATTCACCAGATTTGAAACCCTGTGACCTTTTTTCTGTTCCCAAGATTCAAAGGGTGGAATGAAAGGACGGCGTTTTGCGATGATTGAGGAGATAGAAACCAAAAATTCGCCTTATTTTTTAAACGGACAGCGTATATCTATGCGTAGATCCCAAATAATATATGAGTGATAACTTTTTTAACATCACAAATAACAATTC